TTCTGCACCCAAGAGCCCCTAACAGATAGCTTGGAGCTACTGCAGGGTTAGGGCATGGTACTTCTGGTAGAGGTCTCCTCTTTGACCTTCCCAGATGACACTGTTATATGCTGCCCTCTCCTGGGTGCCACAGGACCATACAAAGGCACACCAGGAGCTCACAAGGCAGGTAGCCTCAAATCTGGAGCTACAGGTGAAGGAGCTGGAGGAGCTACAGGCAAAGGAACTGGAGGAGCCAGCAGATGCCCTCTTTGGTGCTCTTGGCACAAGGACACGTTGCCCTATGGCTGCACAAAGGCGGAGCATGCCTGCTTGGAAGAAATCCAGCAGGTAATGTTCTACAAGGTTGACTTACCAAGCAAAGTGGGAAAGGTTCTCCTACTGGGCGGCGGAGTGAGGTATCTCTCTGGAACGTGCTGCAGTACAGTCAGTGCTCAGCTACCTGCTACAACTCTGGCACCAAGGCCTGGCACGCACTTCCATTGTGGTGCATCTTGACTTTCCATGCGCTGGGCCAAGGGATGATGATGAGGTTCCTGCAGGATCTCAAGCAACTCTGTCTGCATGTGCAGGACCCTGTCCCTCAGTGGGATCTTAACCTCATCCTCTCCCGACTCATGAGGCCTCCCTTCAAGCCACTTGGAGCCTGCTCCCTCTCCCATTTGTCCTGGAAGGTGGCATTTTTGATTGCTGTGACATTGGTGGGATGGGTTTTGGAATTCCAGGCCTTAACTTCAGAGCTGCCCCCGTCTCCCATCCCTCGTAGTTTTCTTCAAGGACAGGGTCCCTCTCTGGCCCCACCCATCCTTTCTACTGAAGGTGGTCGTCGTCGTCTTCCACTTGAACCAGGACATCATCTTACCTGTGTTCTGCCCCAGATCTCACAAGATGGAGGAGGAGAGAGAGGTGTACGCCCTGGATGCCAGAGGGCTTTGATCTGGAATGTACTAAGCCATCGTGCAAGTCATCTCAGCTTTTTGTCTCTGCATGGGTGGTCAGTCCACCAGGATGAAGGGCAGCGACATGTGACCTGTGTTCTGCAGGAGCCTGGCCCATCTGAGTGCTGGGTAAGCTGTTACCAGTCCCATTTGAAAATTCATGTCATGCGCCTTTCTTTGTCAATTACAGAGTATATTTTGGAAGACCCTGTACACACCTCCTAAAATCTGCGAAGGGGCGGAAACCAATTCCTGCCTCTCCCTCTTTTAGCTCTGCCACTGCTTTGCAGTGTGGATGTAGCACAGAGATTGTGAGGGCGCAGTCCATGTTCTGTTAGACTGAAAGTGAAACTCTCACTTTCACTTTCCTTCATAACATGAGACATGACACAACGGCTGAAAAGCAAGGTTAGCAAGATTTCTACCACCGAAACTAAAGGGTTTGCACGTCTACTAAGAGGAAACTGTGCATGAACATACACAGGGGTCCTTTTCTCTACACTTCCCGCAAACAACTAAGCAGCAACATTAACCTTTGTTCCCTTTTGTGTGACCTCCATTTTTACAGCGTCATCCTTTTTAGAATGTAAGATGGTTACTTTTTAGCTTGTGAGGTTTCAATGTCAGGACCTCTTCAGGATTAATTAAATATTGGTGGTTTTGGCATATGCCTTAGAGAGGAAAATATAAGAATTTATCTCTCCCACTTCTTCTCTCCTATTATTTAAAGAGCATTCTGAGGTAGAGGTTGGGTTTTTTTTCCCTTCAGAATTGCATCCAATATGTTTCTGTTTCTAAAAGACTTTTCTTTGTATCATGTTACCATTCCCAGCTTCATTTGTGTGTGTGTGCGTGTGTGTGTAAGTTCTAAAAATAGTCTAACATCAAGTGTTATCCTACAGTAAAATCAAGTCAGAGCTACTGTTGGCAAGAAGCATCCCCTGCTTAGAACAGAATGAGGATCCGCAAAAGAAATTGCAGCTCAGCTTCTAATATTGTTGCAGTCAGATCAGCATGCTGAACACAGCTGTTACTGAAACATTTAAACATCTCTTTTGCCAAAAATATGTTCTTCTGTGTTCTAACAGGCAAAATGGGGAGAACTTGACATTGAATGTAGAAGGAAAATGGGGCTTCAGAACAGAATCTACTTCTAAACACATTTTGCCATGTTTATTGGAAGCTTTAGCTGCTGTTGTTTTTCCTAAAATAACCATTAGCAATTAGGAACAATTTCATACAGCCTTTTTCAAGAAGACTTCTTTAATTTCTCAGACATAACAATGTTTTAATATAAAGGATTAATTTTAGCATGTGATGATACACTGGAGCAATTTCCTAACTGTCAGGGTGGTTAAGCATTCAATAAGTTGCATAGGAGGTTGTGTAATCTCCATCATCGGAGATATTAAGAGCAGGTTAGGTAAACATCTGTCAGGGATGGTCTAGATGGCGCTCGGTCCTGCTGTGACTGCAGGGGACTGGACTTGATGACCTCTCGAGGTCACTTCCAGTTTGTGTTCTGTGATCCCCCTCCTCCCCCTTTACAGTATTAGGCTCTTGTTAATGGAAAGAAGGTAGTTTAGCTGAAGCCATTTTTGTGTATGTTTTTAAGAGCTTGTAGGCTTTTGTGAGTGTGTCACTCTGCTTACCAGATGCCTATTTTTAAGACTATTTACAAAGTGCGAGGAAGCACAGTTTTACATGGTTTCATGTGAGTAATACAGCAGATCCTCCAGGAGTGATATTGTCTCTCTAGATACAGTAAACTTCCGATAATCCAGCACCTTTAGGACCTAGGGGGTGCCGGATTATCAGATATGCCGGACTATCAGAAGGGGGGGGCTATGAGGGGTCTGGGGTGGGGTGGGGGAATGCTACCCCAGACCCCCTCATAGCCCTCCCTTCTGATAGTCCGGCTCTGCCCCAGGAGTCCCTGATTCAGCCGCTGGCGGTCAGTTTCAGCAGC